CTCGGCCCAGCCGAGAGGGGCTTCCCCGGGGGGGCGGGCGCCTGCACGGGGGCATCGCCGCAGGAGGCGCAGGGCTGGGCCCTCGGGCCAGGCGGGAGCCTGCGTGGGAGAAGCTCTCGCGGAGGATTCGGGGGAGATGTGGGGGTGCGTCCCCAGAGCTCTGCAGCCCGCTGGTGCATCGCTGCCGGCTGGCGTTCGGCTTCTCAGGGGGATTTCTCCTTCCAAACGGCTCCTGGCAGAGCGACGTGCAGTCAGGTAAGGTGGCTCGGGCGGTGACACAGCCATCAGACGGATGAGTCCGCCGGTGCGGAGGGAGGCTGCCGGGACGCACCCCGGTGCCAGGGGCCAGCTGGAGGGGTTGGTCAGTGCTCTGTGCCGCCGGAGCAGAGCCGTCGCTGCCCCGCTGAGCCTTGTGGGCAGCGGCGCTTCCCGAGGGCACCGCCAAGGCTGCTCGGCCAGCGCTGCGGCCTTGGCAAATAGCAACCGGCTGCTGCAAACAGTCGAGCCGGGCCCCTGTCTGCAGCTTCACCTGCAGCTCGAGGGCGTTCCCCTCGTCCTCCGAATGCATCCTGCAAATGCACCGTGAACTTTAAACTTCCTCAGGTGCAAACCAGGAATTTGGGAATTCTTCACTGGCTCGGCTGCATCTTAAGGAAATCAGAGCATCTTAAGGAAATCAGAGCATCTTAAGGAAATCAGAGCATCTTAAGGAAATCAGAGCATCTTAAGGAAATCAGAGCATCTTAAGGAAATCAGAGCATCTTAAGGAAATCAGAGCACTCTTGCTTGCAGTCCTCATTCCTGATCTTTCCCACCTCGCCTCCCCGTCCGGGCGCCCACTGCGAGCCCAGGCCCTGGCTCTCACTTGGGTTTCTCCTCTTTTCCAGAGCAAGCGCCTGAGCAGGGCCTGGACAGGTTCAGCTACGGTGAGTGCGTGCCCCGAGCAGCCCGGGGGCTGCGGGCAGCGGGACGGGCAGCCCGCTCCCACACCTGCCCGTGGGCTCTCGCTGC